AACAGAATCATAAAGACCACGGAGGAGAAAGCCTGGTCTCCAGCCCCTCTCCTCCTCAGACCTACCACCTGATCCATGGGGTCACTCGAGTAGTAGTTTTCTGAGTGGGTGCAGCGAATCCACACCGGTTTAAGCAGTTCCTCCTCCTCCTCCTCATTTTTGTCAGGCAGCGTCTCCTCCGGCTCCTTCTCCTTGAGGGAGGGATACAGCTTCTCTTTGCCAGAGCTAGGGTTGTCACTCCATCTCTCTTTTTCGTCTTCCCAACGAGTCCTCTTCTTCTCCTTACTTGGGGAGCGACTTCAAAGGGGGGCAAGGGAGGCTACTTATTAAAAGGCTCTTTTCTCATAAAAACGAGCCTATGCTACTTCTGATTATTCACTTTTCAGCAAAAGACACTATGCCAAACCGCCACCTTGTCTTGTCTTAGACCACTGATTCCCCCCACACATCGGTCCGGTGGCATCAGAATCACCTGACGTTGACATGCTTAGAAATACAAATTCCCAGGCCCGGCCCCAGGTCTACTTACTGATCCACAGTCTCCGGGGCTGGGGCCCAAGAATCTGTATTTTTAGTAATCTCCCCAGGTAATTCTGGTGTGCATCCAGGGTCGGGAACAACTGGCAAACCATAACTCCTAAAAGAGAAAGACACTTGGAAATACGAGGAGGCTTCACGAAGTTCACGGGAAAAATGCAAAGAGCAGGGGATTTTTCCACGAACTATTTGAAGCGCCCTGGTATTGGGAAAGCTCACATTTAGACCATGACAGCGATGGGAATACTAGTTTGGAATCCTTCACAGCTCTTGCTTTGCCAGGAAGGGGAAAAAAACAACAATAATAACCCTGACCAAACATGGTGTGGACCAGGCTGTGAACCCTGCCAGGGGATGCCATCTGAGGAAGACCCTGTCACCACCCACAGCCGGCGCTCAGTCCGCAGAGCCCACACATGGGGATGGCGACTTTGTGAGTCAAACGGTGCCTCATGCTAATTAATACTACTATGAACTCAATTAATATAGAAAGATGGAAAACAAAGCGTTCCCCATCAATGCCTGGCACTGTGAAAAGGCCCTAACCTAAAGAAAAACCCTGTGAGATTTTGTTAGAACAAATCCTTGAAAATCCATCTTACATAGCTCTCGGCTAGCAAGGTTACCACAAGCTACAAAAGTTTCGCTCAGGAGCAAAGTCACAAATGAATTCTTTCCCTTAACTCTATCACCAAATTCTAATTTCATGATGGAAAGTGTATGTAGGAGTGTATGCGATGGGGCGAGAGGATTACAAAGATACAGTATACATATTAATTTCTTACTCATATAACCTGTAAATATTATGGTTGGCATTTTTAATTTTGTTACAAGAAATCGTTCCTTTCGATGCCCGAAGAGTCAACTTTCAAAGAAACTGTATTCATGTCCACTGTAGAAATGTGGCAAGCACAGATAAAAGTGACACATGGCCCCATAGAGGTAGCCTTTAGATCTCACACGTATAGTAAAGCATAAACAGACATATGCATACATATCCCACATGCCCACATAAATAGAGATAATGCATCCAGCACACAAAGTAACTAGCGCGTGAGGGGCTGCATCCTTTGCAAAAAGGGTGTAATAGTTATCAGTGTAAAACTACATCACATACACATATGCCTGTTAATAAAAAGGGCAGCCCAGTCCTGGGCTAGAGAACGCTGGTAGCTTAGTGGGTTACGGATTGGGCTGCTAGCTGCAAAGTCAGCAGTTTCAGGCCACCAGCCGCTCTACAGGAGACAGATGAGGCTTTCTACTCCCATAAAGAGGTGCAGTCTTGGAAACCCACAGTGGCAGTTCTACCCTGTCCTACAGGGTCCTGAGTCAGAATTGACATAATGACAGGGAGTTTCTCTGGTTCTGAGTCCAATTTTACAGCCTGTTCTTCTCACTCAGTAATGATTCCAGAACACCGGCTGCAATCTGGTTCTGAGTCCAATTTTACAGC